ATAGTAAATTTATATAGTAATCTGAGTCACATTTTACTAAGATCATGCTTCAGTTGACTGGAGGATCATCAATTAAATTGTTGGGTTTCTTTTGGTGACACTTATTTGTTGTATATACAATATTTTGGTTTAAATTAATACTTTTATTAGATATACTATATATATTACACATGTGTTATGTTTTTAATACTTTTATCAGATATCAACTTAACTAGAATTAAAAAATTAATCTAAACTATATACTTATTTTAACTTAGACCAATATAACTAACATAATGTTAAATTATATTTCTAATATATATATTACACAATTAAAATATATTCAATATATAGTATTAATAGTAAGCATTAGTAAATCAAATAAATTCTTGCATATTTAATAAAGTAGTACAATTATTATATGTACAGAAAATGTTTTTTTAATTTAAGAGTTATTATTAGCTAACACTCTAATATAATAATAGACTATAATTCTGGCTATTAAAAAAAGATTAATTATAGTAATTATAGTCTATAAGAAAAACAAATTATTTAATTTTTCTAGAACCTTTACTAATCCTAATATAAAAAAACAAGTATTTTAGAACTTTTACTAACTCTAATATAAAAAAAGACAATACTAAAGAAAGATTATACTACATTAATCTGTTGGATTTTTTTTTGAGGACAAGTGTTTTAATAATAATTAGATTCATAACAAAAGCTACAAGCTCTTGTTTTTGTATTTTCTTTAGATTTCTTTTTTAACTAATAGTCTTCTTGTATACTCTTAAGATGATTTTTGTATAGAGCTTCTTTTTCAATATGATTTAAAGAATTAGCAACATCATCAATAGAAATTAGTTATTCATTTTCAGTTTCTATAGCTAAAGCATTTTCCAAACTATGACTTTTTCTAAGAACTTGCAATTCTCTTTTTTTAGTTTCTTTTTCACATTGAAGCATCTTCTTGCCAATATAACTTTTTAAAAAAGTATCTAATTCATTATCATTCTTATCATTATCCTGTAGTGTAATAGCTTGTTTTGCAAAACTTATAGATTTGGTAAACCAAAGCTTTTTATTTACAGATTTTTGAATACTATTTTCCTAAACACTATTAATTTTAAGTAAATTTGTATTTGTTTCAGTGCTTAATTTATGTATAATTATTACTGATTTAGTATTCCTGATATTAAAAATAGTTTACAAGTACATTCAAATTCAGTTATTTCATCTTTACACTATCAAAGTAGTAGTAGCATTATATAAAATTGTGCAAAATCTGATTCAAGTAGTACACAAAAAAAGTGCAAACATACAAGCTCATGACTAACCAATAAAAGACAAGTATATATATGTCACCCACTTTTATATAATACAACATAGTAAATTAATTTAACTGAGATTAAATATATAACCTTCCAAACTTCTTTTACATCAGAGTATTCATCTCTTTTAATTAGAGATTATAAAATATCATATATATTTTCAATAAAATCATCATCATATTGTTACAATGCTATGGCCTTCTTTGTAACCACATAGTATCATAACAAGGTTACTCGGTGCAGGGATTCTGCTACTGGAATATACATGGGGTGGATGTGGAGTACAATTAAGTATCCACAGCAGAAGGTAAGCAGTTCAGTATTAGGATAGTGTATTTTAAACCTTTATTTTTATAGGACAAGAGAATAACCTCCTTTAGAGATTCTAAAGAGAGTTATACATTACAAAAGAGAATTACAAAACTAATTCTACATGAGAGAAAGGTAATAGTTTCTAACTAGATACTTGTTAAAATCTATCTGTAATCTATAAACCTATTTTTACCAGAAGGGATTTATGCTTCCTTTATATACCTTTTACAGAATAGAAGAGGAACTTGAGGGAAATGTAACATTGTACTTGAGAGAGTTGAGGGACGTGCTTGAGGGAGTAGGAGGCCATGTTGAGGGAGTTGAAGACCGTGTTGAGAGAGTTGAGGGAGTTGAGGGAGATGGAGGCCATGTTAAGGGACTTGAAGGTATAGTTGAGGGACTTGAGGGCCGTGTATAACTTTTGCCACAGTGGCTTTAACTCTTTGTTAAATGCTAATATATAATAAATAATAACTATCTAATATAAAGTACAAGATAATAAATATAAACTAAATAATATAAAATCTAAATTATAAGCTATGCTATGCTAATTTACAAAAACCTGTTTTATAACATTTTTCTCCTCTTAAGTTTTTGGTTCACCAAAAACCTTATTCACGTCTATACTATCTAAAAAAAAAAAAAATTTTAACTAACTCATTAAATTCTTCAATACTTTAATTATCAAAGTCCTAAAGCTTTATAGTATTGGTACTGAGATGCTGTATATGCGTTTATCACTATGCATGATTGTTGTAACTGGTGATTTACAAATAATAGTTCCGGGTATTGTAGCTATTTACAAATCTGGTGAAGTTTCACATGTTTTCTATTTGTGCCAACCATATGCAAAAATTCTGCTTCGCAATGCTTGGCAACTTTGGCAAAAATTTTAGCCAGACATGTGTTTTGATACTTCTTTGTCTTTTCCTCCCTTAAAATTTGTGAGGACTCTGAATTTGTTCTAGATTTTGTACTAAATTAGATTTGAATATTCCTAAATTGTCTATTTTCTTCTAAATTTGTAATCACATCATTATTGTTTGTGATTTTCTTTGTTAACATCATACGATAATTTTCCTTGGCATGGAAAAACTTATCAATTGTTTCTAATTTTATTTATAATCTTGTTTTTCCTATATTCGTTTCTCAAAATTTTCCATACACAAATCTTCCTTTTGGTACAATTCTTTCTATTATTCCTTTACATAAAAACTTTTCTTGTCTAATACTCATCACTTTTTCTATTTTCTAGTTTTAGTTTCTGTTTAAAACTTCTCTTGCCTTGCTTGTTTCGCTGCTGTTTTTCCTGTTGAAGGTATGTATACTTTCGGGCCATGTGCTAGCTTCGTGAGTCTTATACTTGCGGGGATAAACGCCAGTCATCCATATCTGGGTGAGCTGACTTTCTTTTGTGCTTAGACGATTGATTTTCTTCATGACTTGCATGATTGATTGCATAGCCCCGGTAAACATTTTCCTATTACTTCCTTTTCTCATTTTCAAGTATATGCACGTAGAAGAAGTGTCCTTTTTCTAACGACTTTTTGGTCAATTTTTAGATACCTAGAACACCTCGAAGCCAGTTGGTATCCAAAATAGTCCGAAGATTACAAAACCAAGTCGCTAACTTGCAAGCGCGGCTTTAAGAATACAATCCAACTGAGCTGGTGTGGCAGAATTTCCTTAACGATGTTTGGGTAGAGAGATTACGGGTGGATAGAAATCGGTTGATGGTTCAGGTGAGGGATTTGGAAACGGAAATTGATGATTTAGAAGCAGAGATTTTGGCATTGCGGAGTATGTTGGAGGGTAGTCAGAGTTATAGTTTGTTTTAGTTGGTGGTTGTTTTTGTTCTTCTTTGTTCTGTATATTATTTTACTTTCTTTTTCCTTAATAAATTTTTCGGGGTT